ATATATAAAAAAAAAAAAACAAAAACAAAAAAAAAAAAAAAAATGAAAAGAAAAAGAAAAAATCGAAAAACAAAAGCAAAAAATTATATATATATTTTACTTACTGTTAACCGTTAACTATTTACCTGTTACCTGTTTACCTTTTCGACCTTTTGATCATTTCGTTTTTTACTGATGAACGCTAACAAAATGCCAAATACGATTTGTTTTTGTTTTTTGTGTGTTTTTTTCCATTTTTTTTACCATTTTTTTTTTCTGTGTCTTAAGCTAAGTTTCATTTATTTACTTTGATTTCATTTCACATTGCTGTCTTGTGGAGCGCCTTTCATTCGTTTTCATTTTGTTCTTGTTGTTATTAATGCTGTTTTGGGTCCAAACCTTTTCCAACAATCAACGCCTAATCGACTAATGTAAGCTAAAAATCAGCAAACAAGAAAGAGAACAAAAAAGGAATCTATATAAAAGTCAGAGGGCAGGCTGGAGTCGCGATGCTCTTGTAGGGTTGGTCAGATTTGGTTTGTGGTATGCAAATTTTATTTAAGTAGAATATAGCTCAGCTAGCTAAGCAGAAATTCCATTTTTATTTGAGTTGAATTTATCTAAATTTGCTATGAATTTAATTAAATTTATTTATTTTTTGTATAGCTAGATTTCAATGAATTGCCTGAAATGCAGCCGACTTCAGACTAAAAATATTGGCATTCTATTCTAAAGAATTTTTTCAGCAGAGATATGAATTGATTTATAAATGTTAAAAAAATTAAAAAATAACTGAAATGTAAAGATTATCAATCTTATTTTATATATATATTAAAATGCAGCTGCATCAACTCAGTTAGCTAAACTGTTCAGGCTTCAATTAAACCATCTACCCTTCCCCTACAAGCATATAGACTAAACCTCTGACTAAACATAAAAAATTGTGATACAAAAAAAGATTAAAAAAAAAAACATAAAATAAATATTTTCTAGAGTTTTGACCCAAAAAGCAGGGACATCAGAAATTATGAATTGTACAAAAAAATAAAACAAAAAAGCAATATTGAGTTCACAGTAATTTAACATCTATTACCTTGTCGTTTAATGCTTAGTTAGAGACTGCAAACAAAAGAGTTACGAATAAAAATAAAACACAAATTTTGTTGTGTGTATAAAAAAAAATCCAAAACAAAACTCTCGAGTAATTTCTGTTACATTTTATTGTTGTATATGCATCTACTCTCGCTCTATTTCTCTCTCTTTTTATCTTCATCTCTCCCTCTCTCTCTCTCTCTCTCTATTTTCGCTCTTTCGCAAGTGGACAAACGATGTGGTAGTGATGTTAATTTGCTTAAACCTAACTAAATATATCTGTGCACTTTTGGCTGGCAACAAAAATGGCTGAAAAAAAAAGAGCTGAGCAGAGCAAAACCGCCAAAACCGCCAAAAAGCATACAAATGACATTTTTACCCGCTATCAATTTTTTATTTCATTTGGATTTTGATTTATTTTCTAAATTTTCTTTCCTTTTTTTTTTTTTTTGGTTTTCATTGTCACAAATTTCTGATGTCCGTTGTAAATATATCCATACATATGTATATATCTCCTGTGTGCGTATGTGTGTGTGTGCCACCTTTATATCTATATTGTTAGCCTTCCTGTGCGAGGCATCGCTGCGCGTGGTATCGCTTTCAATGGTAGCATTTCAATCATGTCTGTCAGCCGTCGCTGCTTCCGTCAGTTTAACAACGTATTCATTTACCGTTACACACACACACACACACACACACACACACATGTGTTTGTGTATGTGTGCGACATATGCGCGGCTGCATATTTGTCTTGTTTTGTTAACAAGCAATTTTTGACAGAAAAAGTTGGAGGAGAAAAATAAAGGAAAAAAAAGAGAGGCAGCTTCACGCACTTGCGGAAATATCCTTGAGAATAGAGAGAGGAACATTAAAAAAAAAATATTGGATTAAAATATTAAAAACATAAAAAACAAATTTAAACTAACCCAAAAATTAAATTAAATTAATTTTGTATAAAAAAAAATAAGATTAAAAATAACAAACTTTTAATCAATTAAAACAAATATATATATTTTTAAATGACTGCCCTAAAAATTCATAAACTTAAAGCAGTAAATTAAAGCGTATAATTTTTTTTAAAATATTTATTTTTGTACATTTTACTAATTAATTTAATTAAAAAAAACTCCAAATTCGAATTGCTGATTTTTTTAAATTATATATAGAATAGTTAAAGGATTCAAATATATATACGATTTTTTCAAATTTTTTTTTTTCACTTAAAAAAATTCTCAAATTATTTTATATTTCTGATGAATATAAAAAATATTTTAAAAAATAATTCCAATTTTATCTAATGGTTCCCATTTCTATTCTAACAACTTGCTAGCGCTCCTATCCTTCTCTCTTTCTCTTACTTGCCTGCAAACTGTGTAAGCTACCCTCGCACTGTCAAAAATGCGCTCTGACTTTGACGTTTGTCAGTCCACTTCGCCCCTGCCCCGACTCCTGCCAGGCGCCCACATCGTTGTCACTTGTACATTGTCCATACGCCATCCATATGCATATTTGATATCTTTATTTCTCTACTTGCATTACGTTTCGCTTGCACCCCAAAAAAAAAAAAAAAAATTCAAAAAAATAAACAAAAAAAAAATGTAAACAACAACAAACAACTAACAGGCTGACAGCGCCACAGACTCTGATGCAACTCCTACTCCTACCCAACAGTCCAAACCGGCCGTGTCCGCCCAGGTGGCAGCTGTCAAGAAGACACAGCGTTCGGGCAGCAGCGATAGCAGCGCCTCAACCGAAAGCTCTGCCAGCTCAGCAACAGCAGCCGCCGCAGCCGCCGCAGCAGCAGCAGCAGCAACAACAACAACAAGCAGCAGCAGTCAGCCGGCCAAGGCGGCCAGCACGTCGCGCTACTCGAGCGCACGTGAGGCTACGGTGCCAGCGACGCCGGAGAAGAAACCCTTCGTGAGCCGCTTCCTGCCGCAGCACAGCACTCCGAGCACCGCCAATGGCTCAGCGGATAAGAAGAAGACTGAGTCGGATTCGAGCAGCGAAGAGGAGACCAGCACGGAGTCCGAGTCCGAGTCGGAAGTGGAGCCGAAGCCGAAGACCAGCGCCGCGGCCAGCAGCAGCAGCAGCGCTGCAACCAAATCGACGCCCAGCAGCGCAGCCAGCTCGACGACAACAGCGGGCAGCGGCAGCGGCAGCAGCTCGTACAGGGATCGGCTGGAGGCGAGACGCGCCTCCCGTGACGACACGAACGCGACGACAACGCGCAGCAGCTATGCCACGCCCAACTCGAGCAGCAGCGGCTATGGCAGCGGCAGCTCGCCCCGCACCCGCCCCGTGCCGGCGGCTCATCATCTGACGGAGAGCGACGATCGTTATGGCAGCGGCAGCGGCAGCAGCAGGTATTTCCATCCGAATTTCCAAGATATCTATATACATACACACACACATACATATATGTAGAACAACTAAATAGCTAACCTATAAACTTTATATAGATTTAACTGTAATTTTTTTTTAAATATATTTTGTTTTTACTAAACTTTTGCATGGCTCACGTTAAGTTCGCAATTAATTTCTGACTTTTTCTATTGATTTTTGGCTTATAAATAATTCAAATACAATTCACACAAGCCAAAGTACACACACACACATATTGATTGATATATACACACGCACACCCATACTCTAATACATAATGAATAATGAATAATGATACTGCTGCATGATAAATATAAATTAACTGTCGGCTGCTATTTATACAAAGCGACTTTAATGTGGGGAACTATGGGCACTATATAATATATATATTAATATTATATATACATACATATATACATGTATCTGATTATTATGATTAGTTTGTACTACATTTCTGTGTGCGTTTAATGCGGCTCAAAGTATTTGATTTAGTGAGTTATATATAGCAAAATATAGAATGATATGTATTTGGAATATTTATTGAAGAGAATAGCAAGCTGAGAATGAGAAAGGTATTTAAAAGGGTATATATTGAATATTATATCATAAAAAGTAAGTTTAGCTGTTGGGAATTGGGCTATAATTGACACAGCAATCAATCTCCAATCTCTCCAATCTCCACAGATGACAGATCAAAGGTTCAATGAATTATTAGTGTTATTCAGCCAGTTGTTCAAAGAGTCATTAAGTCACTCAATCAATCAGTCAAATGGGCGTGCAACAGTCAGCAAGCTATTGAGTTAGTTAATCAATCAACTGGATATCAGTCTGTTTGTCAGTTACCTAATTCATCAAACAGTCTATGATATCAACCTGTGTCAGTCAGCAAGTCAAGCATTTTGTGGGACAATCAGTCAGCAAGTTGGCCAATCAGGCAGTCAGTCATTCAATCAATAAGTCAAATTAGACTAATTATCAAATTAATCATAGTTTTTAGTCAGTCAATCAGCCAGTCGTCAATCAGTAGCCTATTTAAATAAGTATATGAGCTATATATCAATTAGTCAATCAGTCAATCGGCCTATTTAAAGTAAGCGCTATAAATTGAAGATTTGTCAATCAGCCAATCGGTCAATCAGCCAATCAATAGTTTGCCAATATGTGCATTTGGGCATATCATATAAGCCTTATATGTATGTAGAAGGTGAGCAGGGTTTCAATCAATCAGATTCAATCAATCAGGTCAATCAATCACTTAATGAGTATGTAAGTCAGATGTTAATCAGTTAGTCAATCAATTGATCCAGATATCTTACGTAAGCACTATGACTTAAAAACCGATTGAGCAGTCAATCAATCAGTTAATCAATCAGTCAGTCAATCAATGAGCCATCAGTCTATTAGTAATTAGTAAAAAGTTTAGCGAGTCAAGAAGTCAATCATTAAATCACATACATAGATAGCTTGACGAACAATCAATCAATCAGTCAATCAATGAGTCATTAGCTGGCTAGTCAAGCAGTTAAACATTAAAATATATACATAGATGGCTTGACGGACAATCAATCAATCAGTCAATCAATGAGTCATTAGTCTATTAGTAATTAGTAAAAGAATTAGCTAGTCAACCAGTCGATCATTAAAATATATACTACATAGATGGCTTAACGAACAACCAATCAATCAATGAGTCATTAGTTATTAGACCACGAACAACTAATCAATCAATGAGTCATTAGTTATTAGACAAAGAGTTGGTTAGTCAAGCAGTCAATCATACAAATTCATACAGAGATATATATTGCAAATAGGTATTTTATCAATCAATTAAAACTTGATTAGCTATAGAGAGAATTTTGTATATAGCTTTAGTTCAAGGGCACTTGCTATTCCACTAATTATAAATAAAATAATCGAAGCTATCAAAAACTGAAATTTCAATCATTTTTGGTTGTATTTTATTTCTGTTGATGTCGTTGCATTAATCATATTATAGCTTATTTATAATTATAAAGTGCGTGAGATTAATTTACAATTTTAATTTGCTGAACAGACACACACAAACACACACACACACACACACATGCACGCAGCTATACAGAAATGGCAAAACAATTGAGCTTAAATTGAAATTAATTGATTCCATGATTCATGCAAATCGAGATGAATTTGTTATTGATTGTTGTTGTTGTTGTTGTTGTTGTGTGTGGTTGCTATTGTATTTCTGTTTGTACTTGTATTTGTTTATGTGATGTGATCTCTCTCTGCTGCAGCTTTGTACAACTGTGCGACATTGGCATTAGCATCGCATTGGCCATTTTATTGCTCATACGCCTCGTGTGGCGTTTACTAGTCAAGTTCTTAACCTTTGCAGCAGCAGCCAGCCAGCTCTAGGTAAAAATAAAAAAAATTAAATAAATAAAAAAAAAAAATAGCGTAGCACTCACTTACTCCAATTCCCCAACTCTCCCCAGCCTCACTCTCTCTCTCTCTCTCTTTGTCTTTATTTGCATCTCACTCTATGTATTTGTATCTTGTTGTTCTCTATGTTCGTCTTTGCAGCGCACTGCCCTTTAGCATACCGTACATAAGTAGGCCCCACCGGGCTCTGTACCGAAAGCGATTTGCGGACGTTAAGCGTGACACTAAATAATTGATTAACAGACAGTTGTAACTGCAACTGATTATCTATCTAGATCTATATATACATATATATGTTTAGATAGATGTATACGTATTTTGCATATATACTACCTCCAGCCCGTTCCCTTCCCTTCCCTGAAATCAAATTAAATGTGTGCAACTGCATTGAAATGTTTTATTTTTATTTTTTTAGGCATTCTATTTAATTTCCTTCATCGAAAGCGTTTTTCAGTTAAACTCATTGCAGTCGGGCATAACCAACTGCATGTTGCGCGCTCATGGTACAGAAATAGTTGTCTAAAATAAATCCAACTTGGTCCATTTTTTTATTTCCATGTGGTTTTATGTTATTCATTCCCACATTGCTAATAATATTCATTTTCCCGTTCATTCACCTTCTGCAAAACCAATATACCCTCTCTAATCTCACGCAACAGAGTATGCACTGCCCACAGACAAATTTGCACACAAGTTGGCTTCTTGCTTAGTTTCTAATTTTTTGCCTTCGCCTTTGTCCCTTTCATCCAAAGTCAAACAAAGAAAGGTCGTAATAGCCTCAGAGGCTTAAGAGCTTAACCCTAGCTGGTTTGTTTTCCCTGGTGACAGGAGAAAATTGAAGTTTTCAAATGCGAATTAGGTATGAAATATGATATATTTTGAAATTTGCAGAATTTTTGGAAAGTTAGTTTAAATTGAAAAATTATTTATATTTGTTAGCTTATTTTTTATAAATAATAATTGAAGAAAAAAGATTATTTATGTTATATAAATATTTATATTTTAGACAATTTTTATTTTTTGTTTAAAAAAAAAACTAAAGAAGCGTTAGATTTTTTGTTTGTTTTTTTTATTAAATTATGCTAAAAAATGAACGATAAACCAATTTTTTAGATTTTTTTTTTTGTTAAGTGAAGTTTTGTTTATATTTTTTTTACTTCTATAAGCTAAAATCTATGTAATTTTTCTATTTAAATAAATATTTATTATAATTAGGCCAGTTGACTTAGCTGAGTTTCTTAAAGTAGGAAAGTAGGAGGCAAAAATTATTTCTATTAAAATACAAATATATTTATAGTACAGTTAGGTTTTTCTGCAGACTTTTCATAACAAATTTCATCAAAAGCTGAGCTGCTGGGACTCAAACTCATTTGACATGTTTGAAAAATTGAAAAAATGTTATAAATTGATGTCAGCTAGCGATTGGGGAAAAGCTGTCCACAGCAATCAGATGTATTAGATATATGCCACAAAATGTTATCGAAATGTCAGAGAGATTGTGTTTGACTGTGTGTGTGTGTGTGTGTTTGTAGTGTCGGATTCTAGTTCTAGAGCTGACATCAAGGGGTTAAGTAGGGACAACTAGAACTTGAATCTAAGTTGAGGCAGTGGGAGCCACTCAGTGGCTGCTCAAAAGCAGCTTCAATTCAATTCGCAGCGCTTTACAATGACCTTTCACACACACACACACAGACACACAGCGAAAAGGGTTCAAATGCCATTGAGTTGTTGTCATTGTGCGCGTCTGTCTCTCTCTCTCTCTCTCTGTGTGTGCTCGTTCCTTAATTTATTTTATTGACAATCATATTGAATATTGAGTTCTTTTTGGGGGCTAGCAGACAGCTAGCACAGCTTGCGTAATGTAATTAAAACTTGTGGCACAGCAAGTGGAGTATCAATTGCAGTTTTTTATAGTAACTGCAGGTTATAGAGAGAGGGAGATAGACAGAGAGAGAGAGAGAGAGAGAGGGGTATACAGAGAGTATATGAGCTTTAACACGACTTGCGACTGAGCTAATTTGACTTTATTGGAGCTGGGAAATTGTAAGATTATATTTATTTACATATCATGTACATTCAGCTATGATTATTCAGATATAAAGCATTATTCTAAGGTGTTTATAGGTCTGAAAAGTGACAACTTTTATTTAAAGCTTCAAGCTCTCAATCTCTTTAGGTATTCTCTACATATCTATATCTATCTCTCATATGATTGACCGCCTTAGGGGTTAGGCAAGTTAATAATCGAAGCTCGAGTTGCTCTCAAGTTGCTTAACAGTTAGGAATACCCTATTAGGAGCATTTGTTAATCATAATCACCAGCTGCTTTATAGATTTTTATCTTTATTGTTAATATACGCCACCAATTTAGGGCGTGGCAATTCAATAATCACCACAGAGGTCACTTACATGCATCTTTTATGTGAACCGGCCACTGCTCTTTAGATATGTATCTCTATCTGGTATATATGCCACCCATTTGAGGCGTGGCTAGTCTATACTCACCACAGAGGCCCTTTACAGTTATCTATTATTATACGAACCGCCCATTTTCCTATAGATATGTTTATCTCTCTAGTATATATTCCATTTATACTTAATAAAACGTCTCTCTATCTATCTAGTAAATATGCTGCCCATTTGGGGCGTGGCAAGTCAATAATTATCATAGTTGCCCTTTATTGTTAGGTATTCATATCGTATACGAATGAGATTCTTGAGCTCCCCTATATACATATGTATGTTATCCATCTAATAATCATCTAATATATATTCCCTTAATATATATTCCGCCTCTTCGAGTTTACATTACAGTTTACAGATCTCTAGAAGGGACCGCCCTCAGGGGCGTGACAAGTCAACAAGTTCTTGCAATAAATGTACAATTGAACGACTCTACATACATGTAGATCTATATATCTATCTAATATATTCCGCCCATTTGAGTTTCAGTAACATGAACGAGTATTAGGCAGTCGTTAAGGGTCGTTTCAATTTGTCTGTGTGTGTTCGTGTTTGTGTGTGTGTGTGCACGCGACAATTGTTTAAATATTGAATCGAGTTCATTTTTGCTATCATATGAGGAAAAAAGAAGCAGATATATCTATATACTCTATATATACGTATAGTATATATTTTTATGGCAACAATCAATGCTTGTTTTTCTTTTGGCTGTTCTTTTTGTTCCATGGCAATTAATGTACAGTTGGACGACATGCCGCACATGATGTGTTGCATGCGCTGGCATTTATTTCATTGTTTGACTATGTGTGGCACATATGTGTGTGTGTGTGTGTATGTATGTGTGTATATATATGTATATGCCATGTACTCGATGTGGCGTACTAACAAAATAAAAAAATGATTGCCTACATTTGTGCGTCATATGGAAATGTAGAGTGTGAGAGAGAGAGAGAGAGAGAGAGACAGATGAGAAAAAAGTTGCGTAGAGGTGGAGAAAGGGACAGAGAGATAGATAGAGAGGGAAAGAGAGAGTGAGTGAGAAACAGAGTGCTAGACAGCGAGGCAGAGAGAGATAGAGAGAGAGAACGAGTGAGAGATAGAGAGAGAACGCGTGAGAGACAGAAAGAGAGAGAGAGAGAGAGAGAGAGCGAGAGAGAGAAGGACTGCTGCTGCTTAAGCTTCTGCCCTTGGCCTCAATAATAATTTAACCGTATTTAATGAGCTTTTTGTATTTACTTTCAGTATTAAAATGATTACATTTGGTATTTAAATACCCACTAGTATATTTTCTGTGTGTGCTTTGTTGTTGCTTTCCATGTAGCCGTTGGCCTTTGTAGCAATGTTAATCTGATTTCTCCTAATGCTTAATATACCCTGTAAATGTGATCTGTATGTGAGCATAATATATGTATATATACCCTGTACATTTTGTGTTGCTCTGTGTCTAAACTTTTGCGCTAATGTAAAATGTAAAACGTGAAATTTAATTAGAAACTTTTTTCGGTTGAGCGCGCATAATTTTTGTTGTTGCTTGTTTTTTGTGTATTTTAATTGAATTTGGTTGCCTAATAAACGAGCTAGAGAGAGAGGGAGAGAGAAGGATGGAGGGGCGGCGGAAGAGCGAGGCGTAAGCTCGTTACACACAGATTTAAGCTAGTTAAAAGTTAGTTCACGCGAGGCGCTTACAAAGTTTGTTTTTACCGCCAGGTGCGAGGCACACAGACACACACACACACACACACACGCACACACAAACTTCAACTCCTACAAAAGCAACAACAAACAAACACAATTTTTAAAGTGTTAAATATCGCATAAGAAAAAATACCAAAAACGAAAAAAAAAACCCCAACATTTTTCTAGCTACACAAGCCGCTTCCTAAACAAAAGCAAGAGCAGCGCAATTGTCGCACAGCCGTCGCTATCGACGCCGAACGCCTCCTTCGACGATGATGGCAACGGCACGGGCACCGGCACTGGCACCGGCGACGATTCCGACAGCCGCTACGGCACCGGCCGCTCACGTTATCTGGCCATGAAGGAGCGACGCAATCGCTTGGCCCGCAGTCGCTCCTCGCATCAGTTTGGCAACGAGGACGATGATCTGGATGAGCCCGTATCGCCGACAACAGTGTCGCCATCCGCTTACCTGGCCTCAAGGTGCGCAAGTCTAAACCAGTCTAAATACCAGTACAAATATCAGAAAAATACCAAAAAATACCGAAAAATACCGAAAAATACCAAAAAGTTAAGATTGCCACAAAATCAATTCGAAACTCCGTTGTATATAGGACGCTGGCGTTTGTACATATGGCATATATACTATAGATCTATATATACTCTATGTTCTATATACATATACTCTATATAAATCTGTTATGGACGTTTCTATGGGCGCTTTCAATGTGCGTGTGCTGTACCATTTCCCGGCCCTTTTCGCTACAAAAAAAACACAACAAATATTTGAATTTCAAATTCTTTTTTATTCATTATTTTTTTATGATTTTATTTTGTTTTTAATTATATTTTTTTTTATGAGTTTCTCTGCGTGTTGGACCCACGTTTCTTTACCACGTTTCGTTCTCGTTTATGTTTTGCACTCTACACACACACACACACACATACACACACACCAGCACACACTAATTCCAGTTTCTTTTATGTACATTTATTATTTCAATTTTTTATTTGTATTTTTACAAAATTTTTGACACCTTCCCCAACAAAAAAAAAAAATAAAAAAAAGTTTTTTCTGCGCGTTCAAATTAACCGAAATTAACAGGATTTTTCAAGCCATTTTGTATAGTTGTTTCTTTCTCACTGTCTTTTCCTTAGATACAGTTGCGCCCACTCTGTACAAATCTCATGCGTACATCATGCATACATCATGCGTACATCATGCGTACATCATGCATTCGTCATGCATTTTTTCACTTCAGTTTTCGTTGCGTCGTCGCATTCATTAAATGTGAAAAACAAATCCAGTTCAGCTCAGTTCAGTTCATGCACTCATTTGAACCAGTTCATAATTTCAGTGATCAACAGTTAAAGCAAGCGAGGGCTGCTCGTTGAGTTGTGCAGGCGATTTCATTTGCTCTGTTGGTAGTTTGCTTACAGTTTGAGAATCATTGCATTATCAGCGAAACAGTTTAAGAGCCTGCTTACAGTTGGAAATTTGCTAACTTCTTAGTTCTCTGTAAGGCTTAATACAGTTTGAGATTTCTATACTCTCGGTTTGATCAGAGAATCAATTCATAGCAATTGCTTCATATTGAGCAACCGTTTACAGTTTGATGCCATTGGCATTCAAACTGCATTCAGCATTTATTGTAGCTCTGTGCAAACAGTTTTGCAGTCATCTCTGTGTGTTCAATGGCTTTTCAACTGTCCAACTAAGCAAAGCCCTTGGTAAACAGCTTCCAGTTTCAGTTTTACAGCAAGCAGTTCCCTTAAAACTAGCTACATAGTTGTTGTCAAACTGTATCCTAATGTGACTGTAAAGATCGTAAAGATCTTCTGCAAATAGTTTGACAGTCATTGCAACTTTGCTAACATACTATTAGTCAGCACACAGTTTGACCAGCACTGTATTCTGTAGTGGCTGAAGGCATACTGCCAAACAGTTTGACATTTCATATGTGAGTTGAAGATCTTCAATTGCTTGCTGGATTCACAGTTTGGCAGTCAATTGCTATCAGTGACTCTGCAACTGTTGGTCAAAGCTTAGCCAGTCGTTGGCAATTCATTCACAGTGTGCATTAAACTGTACCCAATGACTCCTCAACTGCCAAGACAAAGTTTAAGTCCAGCTTCACAGTGACCGTCAAACTGTACCCAATGACTCTTCAACTGTCAAGTCAAAGCTTAACTCCAGCTTCACAGTGACCGTCAAACTGTACCCAATGACTCCTCAACTGTTAAGTCAAAGTTTAAGTCCAGCTTCACAGTGACCGTCAAACTGTGTGCCTCTCTCAATTCGTGTCAAACTGTCTGCAATGCCCCTCCAACAGCCTCGTCGCACAACTCAACGCTCAGCGCTTGTGTGAAGCCTCTGCCCGCGTGCTAATCCCCTCTCGCATGTCTTACAGATATAGCGGCTATGGCAGCAGCGATCTATCGCGCAGTCGCTCCTCGCACGCCCTCAAATCGCGCGACAATTCGCCCATCACGGATCGCAGTGCGGGCTCTTCGCGCGGCGCGCTGGGCAGCTCGACGGACAACAAGGACGGGGAGGCGCTCAGCTCGTGGGCGCGCTATCTGAAGAACAAGTACGGCAGCAAGAGCTCCAAGGATGCGCCCAGCAGCAGCAGCGGCAGCGGCAGCAGTGCGCGCGATAGCCACGCCTCCGGCTCGACGGCGGCCAGCCGGAGCACGGCCAGCGATGTGTCCAGGCGGCTGAGCCTCGGCCTGCCGTTGCGTCAGGCCAATGAGCTGGCCTCGTCCGACGATGACGGGTCAAAAAACGGGCTAGGCTCCCCTACGTCCCCTACGGTAGCAGCAGCAGCAGCAGCCGGTATAACCGGAGTGGCAGGTACTATCCCTAAACAGGTATACCTGCGCAAGCGCCAGCAGCTGTTCCAGTTGGGGGGCCGGGGGAGCGAGCCCGGATCCTTTACGTGGCCGCGCGGCCTAGCCGTCGGCCCCGACAATAGCATTGTCGTCGCCGATTCAAGCAATCATCGTGTTCAGGTCTTCGACTCGAATGGCATCTTCGTCAAGGAGTTTGGCGAGTATGGCAACGGCGAGGGTGAATTCGATTGTCTAGCGGGCGTGGCAGTCAATCGCATCGGCCAGTACATCATTGCCGATAGGTGAGTAAATGAAGATATGCGATACTTTCAAGTAACCAAAATTTGATGTGCATAGCTCTTGGAGTCTCTGAGTTCTTTGAGTCGGTGTTTATATAAAAATCGGTGGATAGTGAAAAGCAGGACTTAAACTAAGCCATTATTTTATATGTATATAGGATAGTTAACCTTTTCTCCTTTTGGGTTTTCCTTTAAGCGCTCTATAGAGCTCTTTGAGTTTTCACTTCCAAAATTGCCTTAAGGCTAACGCAGATCTTAAGGTTATTAGAACTATGTCAATCCATAGTAACCATTGATTCATCTCAAAAGCGAGCCTGTGATCTATTTACTTTTCCTTCAAGTATTCCATAGAGCTCATAAGCTTCCTTTTCTAGAACTCCTTGAGTCTTCAGCTCTTCAGATTTAATTACTGTTTTTCTTCTAGTATTGCTTTAAGAGTATATGCGCATCAAAGTTTCATTAGATCTACTTGTATAAATTCTTACTAATTAATGATTCATCAGGGATAAGAACTTGGATTAATTTGGGATAAAAACTTGGGCAAATATAAAAATATTATTATTTATTACGATTAAGAAATCTTCGAAATCTCACACAAATTAAGAACATAGATTTAATGAAAATAATTTTTAGTTGTCGACAAGCTCTCATAGGTATATATGAAATGAAATGATTTTTGTGTAAGTCCCAAGAACCGCTCAAGTAAGATCATGCTATCCATGGCCTTAGCTTATCTCTCAATTTTCTTAAGCCTCTCACTCTGTTTCTTTAAAAAGCGTCCATACTTTATGCTCTTTAAATCTAATGGCAATCCCCAATTCCCATTCTCCATGCCTATTCGAATTCCCATAATTACTTTAACTTCTTCTACCATATTTTATGCCCTTTAAATCTAATTGAAATCTCCCATTCCCATTCCCCCTTCCTAAAGACAATCCCTATTATTGCTTAACTGCATTGAAAAGTTGCGTAAAGCAAGAAAAAAGAATGAAAAAACTTTTTCCTCACATGTCAGATCATGGCGAAAAATTTCTTTTGGACAGCGCTGCTGGTCAGTTGAGCTGCTTGAGTTGGCTCAGCTTTTTGGCTTCGCTCGGCTCCATCGACTCTTGGCTGCATTTTAATTAAGTCGAAACAATAGTCCATGATTAATTCTCGGGCTTAGCTTTATGCTGGAGCCGTGTAATTGGCACGGCTAAGCGCATAATAGCCGCGTTAATGAGAAACATGTGCGGACGACTCAGCCCAGCGTCCCTCCGCCCCGCCTCCACTCGGTGTAAGCCGTATGTAACCTAACGCCCGCTCGTTTTTTTTTTGCTCCCTCTCTTTCCCCCTCTCTGCTGGTATTTACACATGTGCATATGCCCAATCTTTGGCTCTGTGTAGGGGCTGTCATTCATTGTCTGACGAGAAATCTCGTTAAGCGCCCGGGGTCGGACGGATGAGCGGATGGTCGGATGCTTGGTCGTTCGGTCGTTCGGTCGAGCCTCATTGTCTGTCTCAACTTTGATTTTGCACGTTAAGCGGCTTAGTTGTAAGCCCAATGCCCGGGGCAAAAATGCGTCACACGATGCCAGCGACCACGCCCACTGGCCTCAAGTTACGGCACACGGTAATGAGTTCTCAACGCCCCATTTTGTAATTAATGACAGTCCGAAGCGCGTTTCACAATTTGATGGCAGGGCGACTGCAAAAAGGCCAATGCTGTTACATTTTTTTGTTTGTTTAAAGGAAGAGTGAGCGTGCGAGAGAGAGAGAGAGAGAGAAGGGTGTGACGAGTGAAGAAGACAGCCAAACTAGTAATCTCTGCTGACCTGAAATGAAATAAAAACTACTACAAAATATCAAACTAAATATTAGTAAAAACAAACACATTCATAAAATAATAAATTAAAAAAAAAAAATCCAAAGAAAAATAAAAGGTAATGAAAATTAATACCAAAAAAAGAGGAAAATATGAAAAAGAGAAAATAAATAAAAATATTTACATAAAAACATTTTATAATGTATAAAAAAAATATATATAAAAAAACCACAGAAAATGCATTAAAACAAAATAAATAAATAAATTAAAAAAAAAATAAAATAAAATAAACAAATAAATATAAAAAAATAAATAAATAAATGAATTAAAAATTAATTAATGTAAAAATAACTATTAAATATACATAAATAATATATAAAAAATTAAATAAACAAATAAAGTAAATAAATCAATGAATAAAACAAATAAATAAATGTAAACAAAAAATGTAAACAAAGCTAATAAATATGAAAAAAAAAATAAAATAAATAAATAAAATCAAATAGATATAATAAAAATGTAAGCAAACTTGAATAAACATGATTTAAAAAAAAAAAAATTTTATCTATATACAAACATTTTTTATAAAAGGAAAAACGAATTTTAAAAATATTTTCTATAAGCAAAGTAAATTTTGTTAAATAACAAAGATTAATTAAATAAATATGAAAAAAATTTAAAAATTATATTTTATTTAAAATTTCTACAAAGTTAATAATAAATAAATTAAAGTAAACATATTCCATTTAAAATTAATATATACCTAACAATGCAGCTTTAGGTTTAAATTTCATATATTTGATGCACTAAATATATTTCTACTCCATTTAAATTTGATTTCTCTATTGATTTTCGCCTTTGTTTGCCACGTTGCAGATACAATCATCGCATTCAGGTGCTCGATCCGCAAGGACGCTTCCTGCGCGCCTTCGGTTCGCAGGGCATCGCAGATGGCAAATTCAATTATCCTTGGGGCGTTACAACCGATGCACTCGGCTTCATTTACGTATGCGATAAGGAGAACCACAGAGTGCAGGTGAGATGGTGTTTATCAACATGAGAGTGGGGGAGTGGCAGTGGCAGTGGGCGAGGCGAGCAGGAAACGGCAGCTCAAAGTCTTGCCCAATTTGTCACACTTGAGAAGGCTGCCAGCCGGATGCCGAGACAGTCAGACAGTCGGGCAAACCAACTGCAGTTGCCTGCGCTCACAGCCACGCCCACTCAATTTTCATGCACTGCCTGCCGCTCTGCTTCTCTCTCCCATTGTCTGTGTTGCTCTTTACATTCATTTTTTATTTAAAAAAAAAAAAAACTATATCGTGGTTCAGGTTTTCCAATCCGATGGTTCCTTCGTTGGTAAATTCGGTTCCTGTGGCCGTGGCGAGGGCCAGCTTGAGCATCCGCATTATATAGCCGTATCGAATACGAATCGTGTTATTGTTTCCGATTCGAATAACCACAGAATTCAGGTAAGCTGACCGAACGGAATTTAATTGGAATCTGTTACAGCTGTTACCTGTCTATCTCTCCCTCTCACTCCCCATCTCTTTCTCTCTCTCTCTCTCTCTTAGATATTCGATGTTAATGGCAAAGTGCTGTCCACTGTGGGCGGCGAGGGCTCCGATGATGGACAATTTAAATTTCCACGGTGCGTATACTTAATATGATCTATATATAGTTGTATATAAAATATATATAATTCCCATTTTTTTTTTTATAGCGGCGTGGCTGTGGATGATCAGGGCTATATCTTTGTGGCCGATTCGGGCAATAATCGCATACAGATCTTCAATCCGGATGGCAGCTTCCTGAAGACCTTCGGCTCCTGGGGCTCCGGTGACTCGGAGTTCAAAGGGCTCGAGGGCGTGGCCATTATGTCGAATGGCAATATTTTGGTATGCGATCGTGAAAATCATCGTGTTCAGGTCTTCTGAGCGATCACGGCCAAGCCCCACGTCAACAACAACAATTTATTATTTCAATTTGATTTTATTTTGCCAGCAAGAAAAAAACAAACAAAATTTAAAAAAAAATTGACAAAATTGAGTTAACATTTCTAGTCCTAGAAAAGGAAAACTACAAAATTTGAGAAGAAAAAAAAAACAATCGAAAAACGCGTTAGAGAAATCAGCTAAATATATATCGACTTTATATATATCTCTATATATATCTATATGTATTGCTTAATAAATTATAATAAAAAATAAAAAAAAAAACCAAAGCGAAAACTCGTCAGAGTTGGAGTGAAAAAAAAAAAAAACATTCGTTGGCCCAATCATTTCGACCCCAAGCATCAATTGCCGGCGCAAACTCTGGGCCATAATTCTCTTTGGGCCCTAATTGAGATTTATCTGAAATTACATTCGTTGCGAGGCTGCGTGCGAGGCACTTTATTAAATTAAGATCTTCCTCGAGTTTGCAGCAAAATGAAAGTTTTTCCGTTTTTTTTTTTTTTTTACATAAACTATATGGTTTACTGTGTGAGTGTGTGCTAGAGTGTGTTAGTGTGTGTGTGTGTGCGTGAGCATCACAAGAGGCACTGAGAGCACAGCTGCAGATTTATGTGTACTCGCATAAATTTGTTTGCCAGCAAATGTTGCGCATACGCCATGTAGCTCAGCTACAAGCCAACTGTTTATCTATATACGAAAAACAGAAAAAAAAAAATTTATATATATATTTACGTACATCTATATATATATATATATATAAAAGAATACGAACTAGCGTTACACTAACTATGAAAAAAAAATGCCGCGCTTGGTAAGTAATTTATTTTTTATTACATTTGATTTTATTTTTTTTTTAATATTTTTAATGAATTATATTTTTATTACTAATATTTATTTTTTAATAATTGTAATTTTTTTTATATATTTATGAATTTTAGAACCAACAGCTATTTGTTATGGGCTCTTATTATTGACGCAACATATTCTTTGCTATTAAAATATAAAAATAATTTTATTTTCAATGAATGTTTTATATTTTACTTGCGTGTAAATAAAAAAAATAAAAATACGAATATTCATGTTAGAGAATATATATATTTTTTATAAATTTTCTAAATTTATTTTTAGTTTTCATTTTTTGTTGTTGTATATATATTTCTTATAAACTTTGTAAATTTTTGGTATATATTTTTTTTATTATAGTATATAATTCACTCACCAAAAAATGTAAGCTAGGCTTTTGTTTTTAAGGTTAAGTCACTAACTAAATATTCACTTAAATACTTCTATATATATATTTTTTTAATAATTTAAAAGAGTATTTTTTCCTTTTATTATTATTAAGTTTAGTTTACATTCTTCAGACGCTTCACAGCTGCGACATTGCCTTCCAAGCTTCCAGTTTTCCAGCTAAAATACTCTCACTTCTTGCGTAGCGCAAAAATTACAGCTTTTTGTGAATTGGCATACACCAATGCACTTACACAAGTACAGAAACACGCCACATACACACACACGCACACTCAGTCATTCTCACTCACGCATACAAAGCACGCAAAATGTTGCGAATTTAAGTGAGTTTTATGTGATTAAAATGCATGTGAATGTGTGAGTGCTAGTGTGGTGTGTGTGTGTGTAAGCGCTAGTGTGTGTGTGTGTATGAGAGCAAGTGATATGTTAAGTGTAGAGTGCGGAATTCGCCGTGAAGCTTTATGGCTTACCGTTGCCTCTCACAAATCGTCTCCTGCTCCCGCTCCTGCTCCGTCTCCTCCTCCTGCATTAACGCACACAGTGAGAGCTGATTACATAATAAAATTCGTTGATTTGCAGTTGTCGCAATTAACCTTTGATTGGTGCAAGCCAACAAATTACAGGACAGCTAACTGACACGCCTACACGCGACCACCTCCTCCTTCTGCTCCTGCTCCTGCTAATATTGCATTCCCCACATCTAATTGAATCAAAATGCGAAGATTTCACCATGTCACGCAGCAAATACGCCTTTCAATTAGCACAGCGAGCCGAGGCCTCGATATGTGGCTGCCACAATGTATCCATCCGTACGAAACTTGCCACATTATGTGGCAACTGGCAAAAAAGAAGAAAAACCGTAGATAATTTGTTAAAGTGCCTGGCTTACTCTATTTTTTGTTGTTGTTGTTTTCTTTTTTATGGCTGGCGCATATGAGCCCAGGTGGGCGTGGCAACAGCCACAAGTTGCGCCCAGCCGCATAAATTACAGCTACTCTGAGTGTGTGTGTGTGTGTGTGTTTGTGTGGCACGATTCGATTTTTTTATGGCTTGTAATTTTTATTTGCATGTATCACGTGCCACGTCGCCAAATTTCATTTAAATTAACTACTGCCAATGGGCGGCAGGGGCGTGGCGCGCTCTCATTTAATTGGAACACGTTCCGGAACAACAACAACAATAACAGTTTGCCTGTTTTATGAACATCTCCCCCATCTCCTGCAGACGACGCGTCGTCAAATTGCAATGTGCTAAAAAATTATTTAAACAAAGAAAAAAATTGCGCGCTTAAATTTATGCTGCAAGAAGAACAGTGGAAGAAGAAGGCGAATTGGAAGAGCAAGGCACTGAGCAGAGAAAGGCAAGACAAGGAGGGGAAGCGATCGCTATATAAGCGGGCGAAGAGCTGAGTAATGGAAGGAAGGGGTAAGGAAGAAATGATCGCTTTGCAAGCAGCAGAAAGCAAGAGACAAGGAGGGAATATATAAGGCAATGCTGAGTAGTGGAAAGAAGGAGCTAAGCGCTGACGATCCAAGCAATGGAAGCAGAGGACGAACTGAAAGCAATGGAAGTGAGAGGAGAGTAAATAGCGGGACTGAGTAGAAGGCGGCGAGAGCGGTTGCTGCTGAGCAAGGAGAGCAGCTGGTGTGGACTGCGCCGCTATCTAAGCACTGGAATGTTTAATCTTTTTACAGCCGCCGTAACTTTTTGATTTTCATCGCTTGCGGCATTTCGATTTTCATTTGTTTGCACAAAACGCTTTGCACTTGCAGCCCACAAAGGTCGCACACACAAACAGAGAGAGAGAAACAGCAATTCACTTGGCCTTGCTTGTTTGCTCTTGCAATAAACGCACGAAATCAATCCATGCCACAACTGAGTGGCATGCCCCCCCAAAAACACTGGCCATCCCCAGGGCTCTGCTCCTCCTCCACCGCCTAACCCCCCTCCACTTCCATTTCCACTTCCACTTCCATTCAGCTAGTGCAATTTTGATGTGCGTTCGATTTTTGTGCGCTTGCTTTTGAGCGTTTTATGAGCTGGTAAAAGTTTATGTTGCATGCCCCCAGCCAGCCAGCGAGCCAGCTGCTATTGCCACAAACTGAATTTCCCAAGCGCGTTTTTAAAGCGAATTTGTGCGAGTGCAAATAAATAAATTGAAAACGTAGAGTCTAAAAAAAAATAACATAAAACAAAAGCAGTTCCAGCTAAAACAGCTCAGAGCTATTGTTAACTGTTAATTTTGAATTTGTCTACTTCCTTCTCGCTTGCACTCATGATTAGGCTTACATATGAATTCGCTACATTCTTCAAATTCAGCTGGATTTCAGTTCTCTTCATATGTATGGGCCAATTGGAATATTGTCTGTCTCGCTTACTCATATACTACAGTTAGCGGGATCCTAAAGTACAAATTCGCTGCGTTCTTCTAATCCGCTTTCGCATGGAAATCCTTAATCCAAGCTGAGTGAGAAACTGAGTGTGTGTTAGCTACAATTTCGCTCTGCTCTTCATCACTCCTTCTTTGTCTCTCGAATCTTACAAGAAATGTAAGAGCAGTGTAAGCAGCATTTCGTATCTCACTCACACACATACTCAGTGGCTTAGTATCGCGTCGCGTACCTTCCAGTCAGCAAATATGCAGCTCGAACACAGCCGAAGACTGCAGTTGCGATCGGGCGTTAGAATGAAGAAGACGTGCGTGGAATTCTTTTACATAAGTCAAAATTGAAATTTATAATTGCAGTGTTTAATTGGCTTATACGGTTTTTTTTTTCTATTTTTTTAAAGTGTCCCATAAATAGTGCTTAAAATAGATCTGTGATAATAATTAGAATAAATATATGTGTATGTGTCTATCTATTTTATATAAAGTGCCTCTATTTATCTGCGTGCAAGTGTATCTTTCTTTTTTTTTATGTGACGTGCCTAAAGTGAAAAGTTTCTATTTGATTTCTACGTTTTGCTATTTGCTCGACTGAAAATTTGAAATATTTGGAATCTGCCTAAAAGGCGACATAACGGTGAGTAGCATAATAAGTGAAGAGCAAGAAAATCAGTTAAATACTTTTGTTCCACGCCATCGCCGTCTCTTTCTCGCTCGCAGGCAACTGTTGCGCCGGTTTTACTTTTGGTTTCGTTTTCGTTTCGCGTTTTAATTCCTCTAAGCGTTTCGGCGCAGCTGCTTTGCCTTCCAGTCTGAACCCTTTTCGCTTATTACTTTTAGCGGCCAGTTTGAAATGTGTTTTCTTTTCCTTACTTTTTTTTCTTCTTCTGCATTTCCATTCGCTGCACAATAAAATTATGCCCAACCCAATTGTTGGCCATAGTCAGAAGCAACAGCTGGCCACCTTTTTGAGTTCCCCCTTTTTTATTATTTTTTTGCCTGGCATTTAAGTGTAAAAAATGCTTAATGCCTTTGACAGCCGCACACTCCAAATAAACAAGCCTGGGTCAGCAGCCCACCTACACACACCTACACGCACGTATATGTGGACTCCCTCTGTGTGCGGCAGCTGGAAGAGAAAAGGTAAAGCCACTCGGTTTCAATCAAAAATTACGCGCCAGCGCAAAAAGGAAAAGTCAATTTCGAGCCGATCAAAATGGCCAGGATTTTTTTCCCACTCTGTTACTCTATCGAATCGAAGTCTGAACAAATCCCGAGTAAATATGCAACATTATAGTTATTTGTTGAAAATAAACTGCCATATATATTTAAGCAGAGGTGTAGCTATTCGAATACAGTTTGCTTTCGTTCTTCAATTCCTTTTGCACTCGCATAATAAGTAACAGTA